AAAGGAAAGAGGAGATTGTGAAAAAGGGAGCCAAGAAAGTGATCTCATAAAGTTTTGTATGAAATTCTGGGCTCATCCTTGAGCTGTGCATGCATGGATCTGACCCTAAATAGCACACCTAAAGCTGAACCCACTGTCTAAGTTCCAGAAAGGCCACTAAGCCGTGCTTATGGGGGCAAATAAAATAGACCTGCAAAGGCTTTGAAAATCAGACTGTCATTGGAACCACACACAAAGAAAACAGGTTAGAACTTGTGGCCTCAACTTATCCATACTGACAGCCTGCTTAAATAAAGTTAGTATCTCAACAGGATTTAAATAAGACCCAAAGTCTTAATATTTAAAAAAAAAGTTACAACTCAAAGTTATAGGACATAGAGGAATATTTCACCATCCCACAGGGAAAAGACAATCCAGTTATAAACACATTTATGAAGCATTTATATATGGATAGTACATTAAAACAAAATCAGGGAAAACTGTTATTCTGATATGAAAATATTCCAGTTGTATAGAAAATATCCCTATACTATATACATGATAATGAAGTACTATATAGTGAAGTGTCAAGATGTCTGTAAATGACATTATTCAGCAAAAAAAGGAATGAGGTGAGGCAAATACAATCAAATGTTATCCAGTATTAAATCCATAATGGACTGTATAGATTTAAGAAAAGACAGAAAAACAGAAAAAAAAAAATAGGGAACCCAGAAACATACACAAAAACTTAACTTTCTGAAGATTGCTTTGGCTATTCGGGGTGTTTTGTGTTTCCATATGAATTGTGAAATTTTTTGTTCTAGTTCTGTGAAAAATGCCATTGGTAATTTGATAGGGATACTGAATCTGTAGATTGCATTTGGTAGTATAGTCATTTTACCAATATTGACTCTTCCTACCCAGGACACAAAAACTTAATTTATGAGTAACCAGTGAAGGAAAGGACAGACATATCAATAAATGGTACCTTGAGAAATGGATGTCAACAAAGAAGACACTGAAATTGACCACTAAGTCATGTGACACACAAAAATAAATCCAAAGTAAACCATGGATCTAAATGTGAATGGCAAAATGACTAGGCTTTTAAAAAAGAAAATCTAGGAAAACATCATCATGACCTCATGGTACGGAAATATTTCTTAAACACATCCAAAAAAAAAAAAAAAAAAACCCTCATAAAGGGAAAGACTGATGAGTCTGACCACACTAGAATTAAGAATTTCTGTTCGTTAAAAAAGGTTTTAAGGGGAAAAGTCAGTCACATGTAAGAGAAGATATTTGAAGTGAATAGAATTGCAAAGGATTTGTATCCAAAATTTGTAACTCCTACAGAACAAGAAAATAATACAATAAATGAGCAAAAACTAAGAGGCACTTCATAAATGAGGGTATCTAAATACTCAATAAACATATGAAAAGGTGCTCAACTTCATCAGTAATTGTAGAAATGCACATTTAAACTAGATTAAGCTCCCACTGCACACTCCTGACAGGAGTGCTATCTCCTGACAGTTGTGAAGATTATGATATCTAATATTACATGGTGTTGGTAAACATGGGGAGCAAGAGGAACTCACTTATGGTGTCTGTGGGAGTGCAAGTCAGTAAAAACACTGGAAAACATTTTGGCATCATCTAATGATGTGAACAAAGGTCCATCTAGTCAAGGCTATGGTTTTTCCAGTGGTCACATATGGATGTGAGACTTGGATTGTGAAGAAAGCTGAGTGCTGAAGAACTGATGCTTTTGAAATGTGGTGTTGGAGAAGACTCCTAAGAGTCCCTTGGACTGAAAGGAGATCCAACCAGTTCATCTTAAAGGAGATCAGTCCTGGGTGTTCACTGGAAGGACTGATGCTGAAACTGAAACTCCAATACTTTGGCCACCTTATGGGAAGAGCTGACTCACTGGAAAAAGACCCTGATGTTGGGAGGGATTGGGGGCAGGAGGAGAAGGGGACGACAGAAGATGAGATGGCTGGATGGCATCACCGACTTGATGAGCATGAGTTTGAGTAAACTCCAGGAGTTGGTGATTGTTGGGAGCCGGCGAGAGAAACCCTGCCTGTGACAAGGTCTGGGTTCAAGGAGCTGGCACGCAAAGGTGTCTGGACCTCTGGGACCACTCCACACGCAAAGGCGTCCAGACCTCTGGGGGTTTCTCAGGACCACCCCACCATCCACTCCCAGGCCTTCGTCCTTTCATCATCTGATGCTTGGTGTTCTTCTATGTTCCCTAAAAACTAGTCTGACTCTTACCTAAATTCCCTCCTTGAAACCTTTGCATGACAGCAACACAGTCCCTGGGGGCACATGGGTCCCAATAAACAGGCCTATCTATCCCATAAGCAAAAGAGGATAAGAGTCCACTAGAGACTGAGAAGATTCCTTAGGGTGTGATCAGGAGGGAATTCATAAGACCTCTGACCCTTAGGATTACATACCAGAGCTAAGTCCACCAGGGGCTGAGCTTCCCAAGATAAGGTTTGTAGAAGGCTTTTCACAGTTGACTAGCTGCTGCCATTGAATTGTTTAAAAGTTATGTGTAGGTATTGACTGTTCTGGAAAGTTATTTATGATGTAACCCATGATTGTGCACCTGGTACAATCTTATCATTCCCCCCTCCTTAAACATCTTTAAAGGATTATTGGTTTTAGGATATATAGCACTGATGTAAAAGAATAAAGTAGTCTTGATCCTGCACTCAACCAAGACTTGACTCGCTTTCTTTTCTTTGCCGACGCTGCTCATCCGAAGGGAACCCCTGGACTCCGCCACCAGGGCTGGACCCTGGCAGGTGATGGACAGGGAGGCCTGGCGTGCTGCAGTTCATGTGGTCGCAAAGAGTCGGGTGTGACTGAACTGAACTGAACTGAATTGAACTGAATGATGTGAAAGAGACACATCATCCTCTGGCTCAGCAATTCCAGTTCTAGATATAAACCACAGGAACCCTGTGCCAGGATGTACCAGGACCCAAGGACAACAGCAATGTTGCTTGCAACAGCCCTAAACAGCAAACAACCCAAGAAGCTGTCAATAACAGGATGGATAAACTGGGTTGTATCTACTTGTACAATGAAACAAACTCCTAGATCAATATGCAAAATACCTGAATATTATAATAATTTTGAGAGAAGTAAATTAGAACATACACATTATGATTATCTATATAAAAAGTTCACAAACATACAGATGTAAACTAGTGACTAGAGACACAAACAGTTGAAAATAAAGAAAACCAAGGAAGTTACTATCATTAAAAAAATTAATTACCTTTGCAGGGGGTGCAGGGTGACTGGGATGAGCACCCAAAGAGCTCTTAGGGACCCAGGACTTCTGTGTTTACTGACCTGAGTGGTAGTGACATGGGTGTCTTTTTTTTTTTCCCATTTATTTTTATTAGTTGGAGGCTAACCACTTTACAATATTGTAGTGGGTTTTGTCATACATTGACATGAATCAGCCATGGAGTTACATGTATTCCCCATCCCGATCCCCCCTCCCACCTCCCTCTCTACCCGATCCCTCTGGGTCTTCCCAGTGCACCAGGACATGGGTGTCTTATAATAATTTAAGCTACATGTTTATGTTTTATGCCTTATTTCTGTGAGCTATTTCACCTTTCAAAAAAGTTATGGGGGAACAGTTCCTAAGAACTATCTGAGGTGCTGTCTCCCAGGCTGCAGTGCTCATTTTGCCCCAATTAAAATTTAACTTGCCAAAAAAAGGGGGTACTGGAAGGAACACACAAAAATTGAAAGAGCTGTATTAAAGTGGTGGTATAGAGGCTTTTTCTTCAACTCATTCTTTGATGAGGAAGTCTCTGGGCACTTGTCCCTCCTTGTGACTTTCAGGCATACAGGACTCTCTTTCCACGTCCTTACTCCTGAAAGTCTTGCTTTCAAAGTCGGAACTCAGTTTTCAAGGCATCTTCTGTCCTGTCACTAGTCCTTCCATTAGCTTCTTCTCTTTAAACGTAAGTGTTCCCCTGTTATCTCAAGAGGACCACTCTCTAAAGGCCAGTATATTTCCAATAGAGGTCTGCTTCAGAATCAACTACAGAACTTACAGAAATTGTCATAAATACATACAATTTAGGCTCCAAAGGTTTTCTGTGTCAAGAATCTTAAATGGCAGAGCATGGCCATATTTATTTTTGAAGAGCTTCACCAGCAATTTTATTTCAACCTAACATGAAGAAGGCTTTCAAAGCCCTTCTCAATCAATCTCATTGCTTCTATTTTTTCCTTCTTAATACAAAATTCCCACTTCTACATTCCTAACTTGAATTCTTTTCTAAGACATATTCCAATAGTTTGTTGTACCTCTCTACTTGGAAATACCATCCTCTACTCACACCATGCATATCTCAAACTAATTCACCACATTTTCTCAAAAACTGACCCTTTTTCTGTCTTTTCTATTTCTGTTACTACTATCCCTATTTGAATTACCCTAACACCAACTGGAAATTCCTTTCTTCTCATTGTTGAACTGCCAACTTGAGGACCTCTAACCAAGTTATTTACAGACCCACTATCTCACTATGCCATGCCTTCTATTCTCTGAGGCATATACCTAAGAGAAAGTCTTAAAGAGATTAAAAAATAAATATTGTTAATGTATTAGTGAAGGAATAAACCCATTAATTAACCAAAGCCTAATGAATTACTCAAGAGGGTTAGAACAGCAATATAAAGAAAAAAATATACACCTTTTAACTTAAGACAATAGAAGCACATATGTAAATTTTTAAAAAGAAAGAAGAGAAATAAAGTGAGGAAAAGGATGAGAAGAGAACTGAAGGAAGACAAGTAAGTAGGTGTGAAGTGATCCCCTTGCATGGGCAAGACTTCACAGTCCCCTCCCGTATCTCTGGTACCTTTAAAGGAAAACTTTCTATCCAACATATAAAAAAAGTACCGCTTTCTCACTGACTGGTTGGGTTGTTATTTTAAAAAACTTCACTACCAGCTTCTCACTCACTCACCTGGAAACAGCTCTCTGCTTACATCTCCATTCCCCAGCCAGGGCTCTTTCCCTTGCTCCAATAAGGAAACCACATCTGGCTTAGAAATGTTAAGACCTGCTTGTGGAAAATGAAATACATTCAAAATTACTCCTTGAACCCTTACCAAAAAAGAGGCCATTATTAGAAATGCCAGCTATAAGTATGAAAGATGTGTAAGGACTAGTTGAAGTTATAATCCTCCTCTTGAAAGCAAAAAAACAAAAACAAAAAAAACTTTCCTTCCTTGGGAATATTCAGTCAGATAATCAAGATTCACAACAGTCATCCTAAAGGTCAAATTCTGCCTGAGAGGAGATGAGAGGAAATACCTACCCAGTGAGACCAGGTGGCCATAGTTCTCCAACATTACATTTCTGTACAAATCTCTCTGAGCAGGCTGGAGCCATTCCCACTCCTCCCGGGAGAAGTCTATGGACACATCTCTGAATGTCACTGACCCCTGAAATGACATACATACATCTGCACAACCAGCATCTATGTTCCCAAAGGCCCTGATCAAGGAATGAAATGAGTCCACTGTGGAGGGTGGACAGTGTACATAAGTAGTGCAATGACAGTTTTCAGTATTCTGAGTTATTATTAAGAATATAAGTAAGAGCTTAGCCGTTTTGTTTTATTGTGTAGTTGAAGAAAAAAAATATGTTTTGTCCTGAGATAATTTATAATTTTGTGACTACACATGTGAACAACATGTATTTCTGGCTTTGGCTGTAAACATTCTTAAGATCTCACAACACTTTATGAATAATGAAGACAGTCCCTTTATGTTTAATAGGGAATGTATATTTTCCTTAATACCAGCCTACTTTAGTGGGGGCTTCCCCCATTGTTCAGCAGCAAAGAATCCGCCTGCCAATGTGGGAGACACAGGACAAATGGCTTCGGTCCCTAGGTTGGGAGGATCCCCTGGAGAGGAAATGGCAACCCAGTCCACTAATCTTGCCTGGAGAAATCCCATGGACAGAGGAGCCTGGCAGGCTACAGTCCATGGGGTTGCATAGAGTTGGACATGCATTAGTGACTAAGCCAACAACATTTTAAAATGATTTGACAAGAATTTCTCCATAGTCACTACTGGCTGTAGCATATAGCAGCAGCACCTGTTTAAGGGACACACACCCAAGTTTATCCCAGGCATCCCCATTTCTGAAGAAATAGCTGTGAAACTTGGAGACAATTTCAGCAATGTCAGGGAACAAGAGAATAAAGACTAAAGTATAAGGAACTTCCAGGGTGGAACCTAAAGCTTTTCCCCTCCAGGTTGGGTGAATAATAAGCTCCTGCTTTGCAGCACTTGAGTGATCCACATAGCCATTAGGCATGAACAGGATTTTTAAAAGTCCCAAACTAGTAACAGTCCCAGAGGTATGACAGAGTTATATTTTACAGCTATAAAAAAAAAAAAAAAAAAAATTCATGTCCCTATAACTTGTTATAGATTTTTGGCTAATAAAGGAAGCTGTGTCCTAATATAATATACTGCAGTGGGATCTGCAGTACAGAAGGAAACTGGACTCCCAGCAAAAGTTGGAGAGCCTCTGGATTTGGAGACAAGCATGAAAAAAAGTAGGACAGAGAAATGAAACTGCATCCAGACGGAATAATTTGGAATCGGGGCTTTCTTGTCCCTCACCTCTGAAGCACAGCTGCCTGCCAAGTATTCAGTCTCAACGAAAACAACCAATAAAATAATAATAATAAATAATCAATAAAAACAGGACGAATAAGTTAAAGAACGGCAGCGGGAGCGAGGCCTAAAGCACTCCTCCTACCCAATTTGTTTGGCAAAAGGAGAACGGGACAGCCTGGTCTACGTTCAGGCCCCGCCCACATCAGGACAGCGCCCCCAGCGCCGCGCCCCCAGCGAACCCTCTCCCGTCCTCTCAGGTACAAGAGAGGGAGGCAGGGCAGGTACAGGGGTGAGGGTTACAGGAGAAGGAAAGCCTGTGTAAACACAGCTGCACTTAGAAGAAAGGAAACACAATTTACCTGCGACATGGCTCAGGGCAGGGCCGGCTGAGAACGCAGCGTGGAGGGCGGAGCTGGCGGGGAGAGAAAGGAGCTGAGGCACTGCCAGCGGGGCCGTGCGGGCGAACCGGGCCGGGCTAGGGGCCAGTCGCTCCGCAACCACCGCCCTCGTCAGGCAGGATCAGGGGCGTCCACGACAGCTCCCTCCCCGCCGCGGCAGGGGCACCCAGCCTGGGCCGGACGCGCGGCCGCAGCGCCTCAGCCTTTAACGGGGCCGCAGCTGGGGCATCTCCTCCGCGCTGCCGGCTGGGCAGCCACGACTTCCCGAGCTCGGGATGAGGCCAACCGCCCTCGGGCACCTCGGCCCCAGCGGGGGCCGGCTCGGGCAGGGCGGGCCCTTCTCCTACCTCGGTCAGTACAGGCCAGTTCTTGTCTCTGCAACGGGGACCCCGCGCCAGAGTCCCGCAAACTGCGCCTTCCGAAGCCTCAGCCACCGACCTCAACCAGGCCGCGGGCCTCAGACAGCTCTGCTTCCCAGCACCCACCGCGGCCTCCGCGCCTCGCGGGCAGAGAGCCCCCCACACGACAACTCCCAGTACGCCCCGCGCCCACAAGGTGAAAGGGGGCCTCAAACAACTACACTTCCCAGGGTCCACTGCGGCTTCAGCCTGAGTCCAAGCCATCCTCGCTTGAACTACTATTCCCAGAATCGACTGGAGCCTTTGCCTTTCTTTCCAAGACTTGCAGCCCAGACAGCGGCAGTGACAGGACCCTCCTCCCGGAGGGACTCTGACTCCCAGATCTTGGAGTCCCGTGTGGCAGCTCAACCACCGCGGCCTGGGCGGCCGTCGGCGACCGTCCCCGAGCCGAGCCCAGATTGGCGAGCTGTCCGCGTGAGCAGAGGCGGCAGCCTGGCTTCGACCCTGAAGCTCCCGAGGGAACCCCGAGAGCTCGGTTCCTCCCCGTGCTGACAGCTCGGTCCCGAGCACATACAGAGGGTTGAGGATTAAGCTCTGACAGAGCTCCTATCTGAGGGGATGGGAGGTAGGGCGAGAAGCTTTGTATTGAAATGGGAAGCTTAGGAGAGATTCAGTCAGTCAGTTCAGTAGCTCAGTCGTGTCCGACTCTTTGCGACCCCATGAATCGCAGCACTCCAGGCCTCCCTGTCCATCACCAACTCCCGGAGTTTACTCAAACTCATGTCCATCGAGTCGGTGATGCCATCCAACCATCTCATCATCTGTCGTCCCCTTCTCCTCCTGCCCCCAATCCCTCCCAGCATCAGGGTCTTTTCCAATGAGTCAATACTTTGCATCAGGTGGCCAAAGTATTGGCGTTTCAGCTTCAGCATCAGTACTTCCGATGAACACCCAGGACTGATCTCCTTTAGGATGGACTGGTTGGATCTCCTTGCAGTCCAAGGGGCTCTCAAGAGTCTTCTCTAACACCACAGTTCAAAAGCATCAATTTTTCGGTGCTCAGCTTTCTTCACAGCCCAACTCTCACATCCATACATGACCACTGGAAAAACCATAGCCTTGACCAGATGGACCTTTGTTGGCAAAGTAATGTCTCTGCTTTTTAGTATGCTATCTAGGTTGGTCATAACTTTCCTTCCAAAGAGTAAGTGTCTTTTAATTTCATGGCTGCAGTCACCATCTGCAGTGACTTTGGAGCCCCCCAAAATAAAGTCTGTCACTGTTTCCACTGTTTCCCCATCTATTTCCCATGAAGTGATAGGACCAGATGCCTTGATCTTAGTTTTCTGAATGTTGAGCTTTAAGCCAACTTTTTCACTCTCCTCTTTCACTTTCATCAAGAAGCTTTTTAGTTCCTCTTTACTTTCTGCCAGAAGGGTGGTGTCATCTGCATATCTGAGGTTATTGATATTTCTCCTGGCAATCTTGATTCCAGCTTGTGCTTCTTCCAGCCCAGCGTTTCTCATGATGTGCTCTGCATATAAGTTAAATAAGCAGGGTGACAATATACAGCCTTGACATACTCCTTTTCCTATTTGGAACCAGTCTGTTGTTCCATGTCCAGTTCTAACTGTTGCTTCCTGACCTGCATACAGGTTTCTCAAGAGGCAGGTCAGGTCGTCTGTTATGCCCATCTCTTTCAGAATTTTCCACAGTTTATTGTGATTCACACAGTCAAAAGCTTTGGCATAGTCAATAAAGCAGAAATAGATGTTTTTTTTCTGGAAATCCCTTGCTTTTTTGATGATCCAGCGGATGTTGGCAATTTGTTATCTGGTTCCTAAATTAAAAGACACTTACTCCTTAGAAGGAAAGTTATGACCAACCTAGATAGCATATTAAAAAGCAGAGACATTACTTTGCCAACAAAGGTCTGTCTAGTCAAGGCTATTGTTTTTCCAGAGGTCATGTATGGATGTGAGAGTTGGATTGTGAAGAAAGCTGAGCACCGAAAAATTGATGCTTTTGAACTGTGGTGTTGGAGAAGACTCTTGAGAGTCCCTTGGACTGCAAGGAGATCCAGCCAGTCCATCCTAAAGGAGATCAGTCCTGGGTGTTCATTGCAAGTACTGATGCTGAAGCTGAAACTCCAATACTTTGACCACCTGATGCAAAGTGTTGGCTCATGGGAAAAGACCCTGATGCTGGGAGGGATTGGGGGCAGGAGGAGAAAGGGACGACAGAGAATGAGATGGTTGGATGGCATCACCGACTCGATGGACATGAGTTTGAGTAAACTCCGGGAGTTGGTGATGGACAGGGAGGCCTGGAGTGCTGCGATTCATGGGGTCGCAAAGAGACACGACTGAGAGACTGAACTGAACTGAGGCATGTGGGTTCTTAATTCCCCGACCAGGGATTGAAATTGAGTCCCTTGTATTGTAAGGCAGGTTCTTAAGCACTGGACCACCAGGGAAGTTCCCAATTAGTTTATAATTTTTATCTTTTATCCCCTCTCTATGGTAAAACAACTCGAATTGAACCATGGATGTATAATTTAGGGATCCATTAATGGATCACTTTGAATCTTGGGAGTATTATGACCAAGCTGTATTACAAAGTAAAATCATCTTTTTATATTTCATTGGCTTATAACTAAAAGTAGTTCAGTTCTGGAGAACGCATCTCAAGGGGCAGCATGCAGGAAATGAATTTGAGTTTCCCATAGCCAGCACACTTACACACAAGACAAATGCAAACATACACACAAAGAACAAAATCGCATTCTTGCAGGACAAAAACCAAAGGGTGAAGTCCAACAGTTTTTTCCTAAATTTTTCCACACGAAGATTCCTCTCTTTTTAACAACACAACAGACAAGCAGGAAGACAAGGAATCATGACCTCGTGTGTAATGGTAATTCACCTGGCAAATGTAAAACCAAAAATAAATTTACTTATTTGAGTTTTAAAAAGCTTCTTTTCTTCCACCCTTCCCCAGGCCTTTGGTTTGAAATTCTATTAACTAACCCAAGACAGAAGTCTCAAGCAAAGTGGGCTGTTTTTATATTTCTAGTATATGATATGAGTTAACTTCAAACTTTCTCCTAGGAATGTGTTTGTTCTTTTAGAGCCAGAATTCTGAAAAAAAGTATTTTATCAAGTCAGCTTTCTCTAACTTCATATGTAGGAACAAAAAACCAATTTGGGTATTTCAAAATAGTTTCATCTTAAGCAATTTTCTCTGGAGTCTGAAGAGAGTGTTAAGTCATCTTTTTCGTTAGTCATAGGTTCATAGTAAAAGTGAATGTGAAGCAAACCTGGGTCTGCTGGCCCATGACCAGTAAAGCCAATATATTGACACTGGGTGTGGTGAAGGAAAGTACAACATTAATTTCAAGTGGCAAGCAACGAGTACAGTGCAACTAGTGTTTAAAAGGCCTGAACTTCTTGAAGGCTTTTAGGGAAAGATTTTTTAAAGA